GTTAGCAGAAATAGCATTTCTGAAATAGAAATAATTTCAAGTTAATCACTACACAAACTTTTTTACTTAAAATTATTTTTTAAAAAAATATATTTTTTTTAATTATTTTTTTTGTTCTTGAATCAATGTCCTTGCACTATTGGCTGACATTCTAAAATAATCATCACAACAAGTTATATTATTGGGACATAAATAATTGATATTTAACCATCAACATCAATTAATGCAGAAAATTGGTATTTAATCCTATCTCCACTTAGTTATTTTTTGGCATTGGAAGTTCATTTATTTTTTGTGAGTAAGTAGTAAGAATTTTAATATCAATTTATTTCGTTTAAAAATAGTCTGTCATCATAGCAATTCATTGCCATAACTTCAAAACTGTCTTAGTATCATTTGAATAAAACACCTTTGTAGAAGTTTATATAAATTCCTGATTATTCAAAGAAAAATATCTTTGAAATGTCAACTATTAGTGCCTTTACCTTATGTACTTATTTTGTTTTTATGAAAGTAGTTGAAACTATTAGATAACTACATTTAAAACTACTCAAATAAAAAAAAATTAAAGTAGATTAAAAATAATAGTCCTGTTTTTATCTCATCCTTATTACAGCAAAATGTCAGATAAAAACCAGTTTAATGAAATTTTCAATATAATGAATTTATCTTGAATCCCATGCCAATTTCCTATTTAGCTCAATGCAAAAATGTTTTAGTTTATGTATATCAAACAGGAAAACTGCCACTTATAACTGATTAAATTAGAATTAAAAACACTAAACCTATAAACCAGCCAAATTTTTATACGAGGGTGAATCAAATATAAACAGGATTTTTGTTCCTTAGCAACTAAGGTTGGCAGTACAGGGCCTGCACATCTAGTCTGATTGGGCAGGGTCATTAGGAGTGGGGAACGCCGACCGCTTTAGACTTTCAACCAATTCGTCAGTAGTGTTCACGATGTCAAAGCAACAGGTACACCCCTCTGTAGTGCAACACATAATCATACAATTTCTTGCTCATGAAGGAGTCACCACGACAGAAGTTTTTCACAGATTGACTGCACAGTTTGGGGATAAAAAGTTCAAGGAAGGACGGACACGAGTGGAAAATCAGAAACACGATCGCCGTCCTCAGACCAGCATCACAAGCGAAAACATTCATGCGATTCAAGACGTTATTTGAAGCACAATCAATGCTGCTTACTATTGCGCGCTGTTGGATAAAGCTAAGGCTACATATCAGTGCAAGAGACGAAACCAACTGATTTGAGATGTCATTCTCCTCCATGACAACGCCAGGCCCCATACTGCAGCTCTAACAGTCTCAAAACTTAACAAAATGCACTGGACTGCACTTGATCATCCTCCCCACAGCCCAGACCTATCATCCTGCGATTTTCATTTGTTTGGGCCACTTAAAGAAGCTATAGGAGGGCAGCGATTTGATGATGATGCAGGAGTGGAGGAATTCGTGCGCAATTGGCTCCTGATGCAACCAACTTCATTCTACAATAATGGAATAAGAAACCTTCCTTCTCTCTGGGAAAAATGTATTTCTATAGCAGGAAGCTATGTAGAAAAATAAAATCATAATGTTTTTTTTATTTTTCAAAATAAATTCTGTTTATATTTGATCCACCCTTGTAACAATTGCAAATGTTTTCATCCACACTAAACAGGAATCATCTGGCAAACTAATCACCAAATTCTTTATTTTGGCAACGTTATGCTAAATGTCGCTGAGGAGGACAAGCGAACTAATCGCAGACAAAGCCATGTGTGCTTTTCATGCCCTCCACTGTTCTGTCCACAAACACATGTAAGCTTGCATATTCAACACTAAAAATTTGCATTCTTATTAGGTGGCATAATTTGTACTTTTGATTCATTACTTTCTTAAAATCAACAAAATATGCAAATTCTCTTAATTTTGAACATCACTGTATTTTTAATAATTACAGTGTACATATGCACCAGCATGACCTAATCCGAATTGTTTTACCAAAGTTATTTAATAAATTCTTAAATTAAAAGTATCCTCAAAAAAATTATTTTATTAAAATAGTAATACAACATAAATTTTAAGTGCATATAGTATTAATATTGAACTTTTAGTATGTTTTTAAGCAACTAAAAGATCCTTAACACATTTAACATATTGTCTAATGTAGCAATTTTCAACTGGTGTGCCAGGAAGAGGATTATAGGTGTGCTGCAAACATTTTTGAAGGTTATTAAATAAATTATTTTCGAAAGAAGCCCCAAAAACTAAGTGTATATGTCAAAATTAATACCTCATTAAATTGATTATACAAGTTTTTCATTGTTATAATAAATAAACAAACATACATATTGTGGTAAAAAATATGTATTCATAAGTAAAATTATATGTACATAACACTGCGTTATTTCATTTAAAATTAAATTTTATTTGAATCAAGTATGTATTTATAATTGTTGATATTTAGTTCAAATTATTTTAACTTAGAAATAACAGGACATTAGGCAGGTTTCTAAAGGCAATTTATCAATGCCACTTTTAAATGCAAAAAATTAAGACAATGTTAATTGCTTTTCTTAGATCAGATATCTCATTAAATGTTCAATTATAATAAACTGAAAAATAAGACTAAGAATTTTAATTACTATCCATTTATTAGAAAGTTTAGTAAATTGCTTTGTGTTAATAGTGAGGTTGTGGCCAACATTTTCATTGTGAAAACGTGTATGTCGGACATTCAGCACAGCTTTCCTGTAAGCTTAGAAGTTTGACAATGGCATTTAGAACGTTGAGCATGATTCCAATGATGTTCCAAACGCCATTGTCAAACTTCTAGGCTTACAGAAAGGTGGCACTGAATGTCCAATGTTCACATTTTTGTATTGAAAACTTCAGCTGCAACCTCACTAATAAATAAATTATGAAAAATACATCCTCTCTCTTTACTCTCTTTTTTTAATCATTAAGTGTGCCATGGAAATTTAATTATAGGTTCAAGTATGTTGTGAAACAAAAAAGGTTGAAAAACACCAGTCTAATGTTTCAGGGAGGTCCACTTGCCACAAGGCAGCTTAATTACATGCAGTGGTAGACTGGGCAGGGTGTCAACTATTGCCCCATCTCTAACAGCAACACATAAAAAGCCTCAGAAAACCTCTGTACAGGATTTCTCTAAAGTCTGGACATACAGGAAATATTGTTAACTATAATTTTTCCCTCCACAGATTAAGTATGGCTTTATCAAAAGAAGAAAAAATTGAACCAGTACTTCTTAGTGGACATAAAGAAGGGTCATATTGTTTATGCCACTGACCATGTGACCACACGCAAAGACATGGTCACACGGAGTGGTGTGATGTTTATCGCAAAAGGGAGTACACAAAGATACATATACAAAGAAATATCTATCTTCTTGATGAACAAGGTTCTTTGGATTCCAACTCTTTTCAGTCCACAGACTTATGGAATTTGTACAGGTTTTTGCTAACAACAAATTTTGATTAAACAATAGGGAAGAACTACAACCAATGTTAGGTTCGTGACAATTATTATCAAATCAATGTCTTCAGGATCATGAAATAAAAAGGATCAATTCTAAGACCTTAATACCAATTAAACACTAAATAAGAAAGGAAAAGATAGACAGAAAGGATTAAGAGAGAAGTTTATAGGAAAGTGGGTACCCATTTTACGTAGTCCTAGGTGTAATGGCACTCTTGATCCCAGTTTCTTAAAAAAAATCAATCTTTATCTTGTCTTTTCTGCAAGAATCTCTTTGGTATTCTCTGTTAGTCTTGATTTTCTCTCTTCGTCAGACCCGAACTCAGACTTGCAAGAGCTTCTCTCCTCCAGTCGCTGCCAATACATGACCCATTCCCATCCTTACTCTGATGTCCAGCCAAAAAGCATCCATCGTTCTCACAGCTTAGCCCTCAGAGCTTCTTTTCTTTTGTTCTATTTATGAGTAACCAGCATCCAAGAGGAAAGAGTTAAGAAGGAACATTCTAGAAAGGATAGACAATGGAACAAAAAAGAAAGACAGGAAACTATACAATATTAAATTTAAAAATATATAAAATATATGGCGTACTGCCACAGTGGTCTCTCATCCACCCGACCTTAACCTCGACTTTTCTGAAAATGACGGAAATCATCTTGAAGACATTATTTAATATTCCAATCGAATAAAACATTGTTAGTAAATTTCATTTCTCGAAAATATGTATTTTTGCCTATGCGTCCAGACTTTACAGACACCCTGTATGTCGAGACTACAACCTCAACGACTCATCACTCTCAATCCCATTTGATTCAAGAGTTTTAAATAAATTTAAAGCTTTTTAAACCTTTATTCTCATAAAAAGAATTGTAATTTATACTTTATGCATTTGGAGCTAGAACTATTTAAAATGACTAAGACAAAACCTTTCTCACTTTGTTTCTAGCCATTTAAACACCGAGTGCAAACGTTTTGGCCTTCTTAATAGGCCTTCTTCAGGTATAGAAGATGTCAGTATACCTGAAGAAGGCCTATTAAGAAGGCCGAAAACGTTTGCGCTCGGTGTTTAAACGGCTAGAAACAAAGTGAGAAAGGTTTTGTCTTAGTCATTTGTAATTTACAGTTGAAAAAATTAGCGTTATGTTCTTTTTTCCCCTTAAACTTTATTTGAAATTTCTTTTAAATTTTATTTTAAAAATTTTGGAATTTTTAAACATTTTCTGTTTTTTTTTTTTTCCTTTATGAATTAAAAAATAATAATAATTAAATTTCATTTAGCCAACATTTAAATTTATAAGTTATTTTTATTTGGAGAGAGTTTCATTGAAGTCATGAAAAATAGAATGTGTCACTAAAATATTTATCTGTATATTACATTCACGTAAATACTACGTATTTACGTTAATGTAATATACGGATAAATACGTAAATACGTAGTATTTAATTAATAAGTTATTTTTAAAAAATAAAAATTAGCAAAGTAACATTCACTCACCTCAAATACCTTTAACAACAATTTAACATATCTTTCTCGAAGTCCCAACGATGCACCCATTGCTGCTAATGCTAATAATATTATTATAAGTATTAAGAACGTCGGTACGACAAAACGAAGCCATAAAACAAATACTAAACATGCGATCGACTCCTCCATCTTCCAGCTTACGTTACTCCTTCTAGTACCCTTCGCACGATCCTTCACAATAAAAGAAATTTTGAAGCGTGGCCAAATTTATACTCGAAAATTAAAAGAAATTTTTTTGATTCGATTTCTCTTTCGTAACTTTATTAATAAACAATTATATATGTATTTTAATTTAATCATTCAATGAAATAATAAAAAACAGAACATTAGAGTCCAGTGGCCTCTGTCAATTCTACAAATTTATAGCAAAAGATGCTGATGAGTTGTGAGTGCTCCATAAAAATTTTTTTCCTTGCTTAATTGTTTCATTTTANTTTTTGCGCTAATGTTGCTAATGCACCATTTGAGCGAAAAAAAATTGTTAAGGAAAAATTTTCTGTTAGCGAACCCTTTGTTATATATTTCGAATATCACCACTGTGTATACATCTAACTCAGTAATTATAAAATTTACATACAAAAATATAAGGGGTACTTGAGAAACAACTACTGGGCTAATGGGTGTACATTAACGAAAAAGGTTGAGAACCACTGACTTAGGTAGTTCAGTAGCTTATCACAAAATTATGTGATGTCCTCTGACTACAGTTACAATTCTGTTACAATTCCATTACCGTAGTAGCCTTTTATCATTAGCTTTAGCAGACTAAGGAGAACACCTGGAAAAAACATTTTAGAGCGATTTTTTGTTCTTCAAATCACTGAATTGAGAAAGATTTGAATTTTTTTCCAAATCTTTCTACACGCAGTGATTTGGAGAAATATGTCTCTGAATTAGAATAGAAAAATTTACTGCGTTAATAAGTTTTTTTTTATTTATTTAAAAATTCAGAATATATTTACATTTTATGGCTAGATGCAGAATATTGGCATTTTGTGGTTATTCGCATGGTTCTACGAATACTGCAAGAAGGTCGGATACAGGCTAGCGACTTTTTTTTTTTAAATTTTCCGTAGGAGCACTGCGATTTCAGCGTTACTGAACATAGTCCTAGTTGAAAAATGGTTTACCATGATTTGATGCCATCTTATGTTGAAAGAATTATATATACAGCTATGTACAGTACAGTTCATTTAAAAAAAATTTTTCATCCTACTATAAAATCAGTCATTTGGAATTATTAATAGAACAATGAAGCAAAACATACAGCAAAGAACTTTCCCTGGCAAAAAAGTTAAAAGTGTGTATGGCGCCATCTGTTATGAGATTTTATTTTGAAAAGTTTTTATATTATTAACTACTGTATTATAAAATGGCGTAAAGTCTAATTTTGAAGATAGAGATGAGTTTTATTTTTTTTAAATGGTAAATGCTAATAACGAGTAAAATCTCCAATAAGACTGATCCTACTCGAGATATGACACATGACCCCCTTGAACTTTAACCACCAAAATTTAATAGCGTCAAATTTTCTTTGTGGACTTTTTGTGCTCTCTGAGCGGCAAAGGGCCTAAAACCACATATTAAAAAAAAGCATCAATGCCCCTAATACACAAATTTTCAAAATTTCAGAAATTTTCGACAAAAGACACAGGAGTTAATTAATAAGCTTCAAAGTGGGTGAAAAAAATCGTGCCCCTCCACGCACACATACTAATATCTATACAGACAGGGAAAAAACTTAATCCCGATTCTAAAAATATAAAAATCTTGAGGCATTTTTTGACCGATCTCCATACTTTCCCTCTGTTAAATGTAACAACTAGGAAAGGAATATAAAATATTTGTTTTTCAATTACAGTAAAACAACAAAATATTAACGTAAAAAATACAACATGATATTATTTTTTCAGAATATTATTTACTGGTATCTGTTTTGATTTATTGTGCTAATTATGTATATAACCTTAATTTTGGACACCAGTGTATTATAATTTTTCGTAATTTGATGGTATGGGAACATTTGTACAGTATTTATAGAACATCTTTCCAAAATGTTATAAATTTATTGTTCGATATTACAGCACACTTGAACAATTAGGAAATGTGACTCGATGATATCATGGATAACCAGAAAACTCGGATAAAACGGACGACCACAGTCATTTCGGATTAAACATTACTAATATAAAAGATCTATATAGTAACATTTTTAAAAAAGTATATCATTCATAAGATTCAAAAATTGCTACATGTACGGTCCTTGTGTCGAGGAGATGATCTCACACGTAAACTTCTCGATATATTGGATATAGCTAAATAAATTTATAAATGTACAGTACAATATATACGTTAAGTTCAAAGACCGAAATCGCTCATTGAGCGAAAAAAATGACCACAAATGCGTTGTGGCTAATTCAAAACGGCCGCGAAGCGAAATTCGCGTCGTGGCTTTCATGATATTTAACCACTATGCGTTGTAGTGGTTAAGAAAAGCCATAAATAACTCTGCAACATTCTTGATTTTTATTTAAAAAAAGACTGAACTTTAGCGTGGTGACGTTACTAACAACAAAAGAAACGCATCAGTTTTATATCTCGTTGGAATCATAACGTTAGTGTCATGTTTGGACTTGTTTTGAATAGTTGTTTCGCTGGCTGTTTTGAGTGTTTTTATCAAATATTAATTAAGATGAATAGTAGGTAAGATTCCCTGTAGGCAATTTTTTAAATAATTAAAAAGTATACTTATATTTAATTTTTTATGGTTAATTTTAACAAAATTAAAATTATTATAAAAAATAAAACATCGTCAAAAATTAATGAATTTTTCAGACAAACATTGTAATTGAATAGAGGGCGCTATAGATGGTAATCGAGATCGGTAAGAATCGTGTGGATTTCTCCGTGGACTGAGTTTGTATAATGGCAGAGTTAGCGGCTCCTGTTAGAGTTTCTCCATTTATAAGGGTAATTATCAGTTTAGTAATATTCTTAGTAAGCATAATTATGAAACAAGTTTTACAAAAGACACGAATTCATGTTCATGTCCTTCCGGTATGGCCAAGGACGTGCGGGAAAAAATACTCTTATTTCATCTAGTATCTGCTTTTTACTGTAGATTTGCAAAATAAACGTTCATCTAATTCCTTTTAAAAGTATTCGCTAATTACTGCAAAATGTAATAGATTAGTATTATAAAGGTAGATTTACAAAGAAAATGACTTATTTTGAACTTACATTTATCAAATATATACTATAGATTATGTGTTATACTGTAAGAATAAAAATGTAATAAAAACACATCACTCCATGAAAAAAGTAAAATCATTTACAAATATCTCTAGCTAAAGACTAATTGACTTACTTTGATAATGTCTCTAATCATATGGATTCTTTTAATTTTTCACTTAACAAATTTCTTACTGGATTGAAAATATTTTTTTACATTTTATCTGTAGTAATTACATAATTGAATCAATGTGATGATATTATTTAATGACAGAATAAAAATAAAAAAGGACATTAGAAAAAAATGTATGAGTTAGGATGGTAAAAACTTGTAAAGGGGGTTAATTAATGAACATTTTTTAATATGCAAAACTTTAAAGTATATTGCCTAAAGCCTTTTCATATTTGGAAGGAAAAAAACATGATGTATCCTAATTAGCAATATAGTGAGGGTATATTTCTAAAGTAAAATAAAACTTGTAGCTAATCAAATGAATTTATAACACTTATGAATAAAATTTTTATTTAGGTGTGTATTATGTATGGTAAATCCTCGATTTAATTTGAGTAATTTGGGCAAAAGGGTATTTGTTAAAACCAAAAGTCTGTTATATAATAAAGTAGATTTCCCAAATGTGTGTGTTAAAAAATTGACAAGTAAAAACAGATAAACTAACTAATTTATGTAGATACATTTGTGTAATTAAAATTAGTTATGTATGAGAAGTTTAATTTCATGGAAAAGTTTTTCATGTGTATTATTGTTTATGTACTTGTCATATTTCTGCGACTGTAATAAACAAATATACAGGTATCCCTTGCTTAAAGCAGAATTTGATTAATGCACTAAATTGCAGCAATCCTTTATATACATAGCAGAGGTTTTAATGTGGTTTTACTGGCTGTGTTTACTTAACATAGATATTGTATTTTGATCAACATGATTTTGATATACATGTTAGCATTGAGAGATCAATTAACCGAGTTAATAAAGGATACCTGTACAATCTAAATTGAAGTAAATAAACAAACATTTTTGGAAAATACATTTTATGAATAATGACTCTTGGATTTGTAAAAAAAGTAACCTATTAATTTAGTTACATATAAAAAGCATTTTAAAATTAACAGGATTACATATGGACCAGAAATTTTGTCCATTAAATTTATTAAATTGAGATTTTACTGTAATTAAAAAGTAATCATTGTTTGACAATTGATCATCAAATCATCTGTTCAATTAGAAATTGCCTGTCTATACAACATTCTGTTATTAAATTTTATATTATCACTAAAACTTTCAAATTTTTTTGCATATCTAAATAACATGTAGTTACATACTAGACAGTTTCCTGTCATGCTTACTGAGAAACTATGTAGTTAATGGTTTGGCCTGTTGTCCCAGTTAGGTTGAATGGACCAAAACATAGGAAAAAGAATGAAATGTATTTATCTCATTCCTCCTATCTAATTTCCTAATACATCCTAATTTTTTGGCCAAGTTCAAGAGTGTTGTATGAAATTGGTTTTAGTCAATGCCAGATTCATTGGCAGTATGGATTTCATGTATCATGTTAATTAACTTGTCATCAGTTAATTTGTAATCAGCCAATAATTCATTGTTATCAAATAAAAAACTACTCACAATGTCAACCAAACTCTAGGAATTAAATCATTGCATGAATGTTTTCATCTGCCTTCAAGTAGACAACGTTCGTGCAACAGTTTAATTGCTGGAGTTTGGTTGATATTGTGAGTAGTTTTTTGTTTGCTTGTATATCCAGTATTGTGTTGTCATTTATTTTCATTGCTGTCATGCACGTTTAAATCTTCCAAACCTTATCATTCAAACAGATATAAATTAAGTAATAAATTTAATTTTGCTATTAAACTATACACATCTCAAAGCCTGATATTTTCATATTGAAACCAAACAATTGTCAGATTTAAACTGGACTACTTTACCACTACTATCAATAATTAAATACTGAGTAATTTGGTATTAAAGGTAGGTGTNTAATCTAAAATATTGAGAATTTATATAATAAATTTTTGAAACGAAGTGTACAATACAGTCCTTCCTTTATGGATGGTCAAATCACTTTTCATTATCCATAGAGGAAAAAGAGATACTAAAAAACACGGGAACGCAATAAACAATTAACTATTTACAACTAATAAAGCAATCTTTCCGGTGTTACTAGGTCTAGCGATTTCTCATTTTTCTAGAGATTTGAACTCATGAAAAGTGGGAAAATCTCTAAAAATGCTACTCATGATTTGTGCAATTGAAAATTTATTAGCGGTTTCCTTGTTTGATAAATCATTTTATTTAGACGGCAGTAGGTTATTTAGATCAGTGGTTCTCAACCGGAGTACACATACCCTTGGGGTACGAGCACAAATCGAAGGGATACATCTAACTTTCATTATAAAATGGCGTATGTTAATCAATTTGCTGTAAATTATTAACACAAGAAACAAGAAGCGACAAAAACTTGCTTGAAAATATCCCACTGTAAACACCCATTTCCCTTTTAACAGTTTAAACAGCTTGTTTATCCACATGATTTGCCTATTTATTTGTGCCATTAGTGCTGAGTGAACATGTAGTCTAGTAAAATTACGGTTAAACCGTAATTTTACTAGACTAACTAAATTTTTAGGTAAATTAATGCTCGATTAAACCGAGCATTAATTTTAGAATAGAAAAAAAAATTTTGTATTTTATAATTAATATGCTCGATAAGATTGGGTCTTTTCGTGTTTTTACTGGACTACTGGTATTAGGAATAATGAGGCCTGGATTGTATCCCCACCATGCAATGCGTGTCACTGCATGCGCATATTACTTGATATTTAGCAAATTTAGATGTTACATTTGTTACCAAAATTGAAAGATTCATGTATTGTTCTGCACGTTATAAATTCGCAGCCATTACTTTCAAGGTCAGTACACAATTATAATCTCTACTAGCAGACCCCGCCACGCGTTGTTTTGGCTCAAAATGTATCGATTATAAATTTATAACACTTCCCCCGTGGGGAGGAATTTTTCGAAAAATTTCTTCTTAGTGTACATTCTCTTGATGTACCCTATTAAAACGCAATCAAAAACGCAAAAACCCGCATCTAAAATAGTATAAATAGAAGTAGAGTTCTTTACCGTAAGCCTTAATCCTAACCATCTCCCCTCAGCAGGGTTGAATTTCGACACGTATATTATATAAAAACACGTGCGTATTCGAATGCAGTGTTGTGTCAAAATTTCAAAGGAATCGGTAGGAACAAACGAACATTACATTTTTATTTATGTAAATAGATAGAAGATGATCCGCTTTAGTTCATTTTCACAGAAAAGCATAATGCCTCACAGAAAAGCAAACTTAGGGCGTCGTACTCGTAGCGCCATCTGTTGGACATAAAAGCCTTAACCTAGATTATATCTTTTAATTTATATGAATGTTTAACGGAATAATATACAGCCTATGTCCACCCTGAAGTTCCATTCT